ACAACGTCATTTCAAGTCCTTAATTCCATTCAATTACCCCTCAACACCATTTTCCCCAATTATCCTCCTTTAGGCCAATTTCTAGACTTAGACATATCCAATGGTTCCACTTCCAATCCACACGCATCAAACCAACATACAACTCATTTAAACATAATTCATAACCACACAACACCAATTACATGATTTTACATCATCTTTTCCTTATTTCCCTTCAATGGCCGAAGCGTTTTGGTTGCTGGAAATTCTGTTTGCAGCAGTCACCTTGCGTAAAATATAACCGGAGTTATACAACTCCGATTGAGACATATAATATGTCGTTGTAAAGCTGGAGATGTCTAGTTTTACATATTAAAATCTTAGAATTTTCGGTAAAGAGCTGCAATTAAAGCTTTAAAAAGAGTAAACGCAGTTTAATGCTTAAGGCTTTGAGAAAGCTTGCAGTAAGCGAAAATGAGAAAGAAAATGTATTCCTTTTGACAGGAAATTATAGAGCATGATTATTGATGATATTTCTGGTATAACAGACTGTGATTGTGCTGTGTGATGACATTGAGCTAGTGTGGACTCTTGGCTTGGATAGTTAGCTTGCAAGGTAAGCTTTCGTGTCCTCGGTTTTGCCATTGTTGGTTCCACCATGTCCCATGGGGGGATGGTTTATATGCATGATGTTGTTTTCATCTATTGTTTGATAAATTCTTTTGACCTGTTGTATGCGAGTGCCTTTATGATATGCATGTGGTGTTCGCCTAGACGGGGTGAGATCCTGTGGGCAGGTACGACATGGGCGTATACTGTGTGGGTAATAGACGTATTCCTGCACTTCTCTGGCCAGTAGAATAATTATAACACGCATGGCATGAATATCTGTTGCACTGCATTGAGTTTTGAAACTTATATTGTTAAACTGTTTTTGAACTTATATTGCACATGTAAGTGAGTTTGGGGTGGAAAATCCTTGAGGACCCCTTGTCTTACTGAGATTTCTATTTAGAGATCTCATCCCACGTTTTGGGCACCATTTCAGGTTCAGGTAATGCGGGGGTTGAGACCTCCAGCGGCAGGAGGCTGGAGCTTAGCTGATATTTCTGCTTTATGATGATTATGCTTGGATGCTGGATATGTCTGTTGCTATTTTGCTGTTAGCTGTATTATTATGTTGCTGTTGTTGAGACTATGTTGGGCTTGTTGCCTTATTTGGTGAGCATGGGGATTGTCCATGCCACATGGTTTGACTATGTCTTATTTTAGATTCGAGTTGTAATAATGTATCAGGATTATGTCCGGACTACGTGTTGTAGTTCCGTGATTTTAGATACTCACAGTTATTTATATATATTGAGGTATTTCAGTTAGCTGTCTTTTGCAATCACATACAGGCAATGTTTTGGAAATGAATTAAGTAATTCAACTTGGTAATGATAATGACGTCATAATTGAAAGTAAAAAGTTTTTCCGCATTTTATATTAAGTGTGGCTTAATACGATGACATGTTAACAAACCGAGTATACACGGGGTGTTACACTTAGCATATTCAAAGACACTTATGTATTGTTTACCAAAAAAAAAGGGCACTCATGTACTGTATGTCTTTTAAATAATTTTTTAGATAAATATAGAATATTTATATTTTCAAAAAAAAAAAGTCGAACCCAATATAAAAAAGACATAATAAACAAAAAACTTATTTTAAATAGTAAAGTAACTTTTAGGTTCTCAACAAATATTATGAGACCCAATTTAATCCTTTAGAAAAAAATTGACTTGTGGTTCCTTTGAAAATTAAAATAGACCCATGTTAGTCCTTTTAAAGGACTAATGTGTATCTTCAATTTGCGACGAAGGTCATTCCCCTGTAAAATCTGTCGCATATCAGATTTGTGACGAATTCTATCTTTCGGGCGACATATTTTGTCCATCGCTAAAAGCATATATTTTTGTAGTGATAGTGCCTAATAACAACCTCAAGTCTGAGGATGATCCACACAACTAAATGAAGAAAAACATTATTGATCCAATGATACTTCTATAAGATTCCTTGTGTAGTCTCTCGATGGGTTTGTTAGATGTAACTCAGTCCATTATGAATCCACCTATGACATAGGTTAAGATATCTCCATGCCTGCACACATGAGGTTTGTACCTTACATCTCCATGTAAGTAATTTGTTGTCATACTAGTCTAATCGAGATGAACTACACCCTTCATTGGTGACTCTAAACTAGGAACGATTTTAGGGCATAATCATGTAATGAGCTTGAGTCCTCATGATCATGATCTCATCATAATCCTTAAGGCACAACCCTACTATCCTAAGGGACTTTATCCATTACACATATTATAGAAGAGACATGTAATATGAAATAAATAAAGAATAATAATAATAAATGCTCAATAGCACAGTCAGTGTCATTCGACTATCAGATTGCCTCTCGGACACCTACTAATACTAACACTTTAGTAATGACTCTAGACCAGGAACAATTATAGAGAATGGTCTAATGATCATGATCTCATCATTGAGCCTTTTTTTTTTTTGTAATAAAGAGGGGCAAAAGCCCCAAACAAAACAAAAATTACACGACGCGAGAACTTAAAAGATCTACAGAAGCATCCTGAAGAAGGAGCTCTAACAAAGGAGAAGGAGGAGAATGATAAACAATAAGATTATTATCATCCTCAAAATGCCTCGAAGCAAACCAGTGAGCACATCTGTTATTTTCTCGAAAGGTGTGGACCCAACGAACATCCCAATCTTCAGCAAGCCATTTGTGAATACGGGAAACAACCTGAGAGTTTCTGTGATTGTTGCTCCCTTCTTGAATAGTGCTAAGAGAAATTTCTGAGTCACATTCCAACTCCACTCTCCTAGCACCAGTACCCCAGGCCAGCTCTAACCCTTTGAGGATACCCCAGAGTTCTGCATCAAGAGGATTACAGAAACCTAATCTGAAAGAGAAACCACCCAGAAAAGCACCATTGTGATCTCTAGCAAGGCCTCCACAGCTAGCATGCTGCCTAGATAGGGAAGAAGCACCATCTGTGTTAATCTTCAACCGACCAGGTTCAGGACGACACCATCATTGAGCCTTTATCTATTTACATGTATTAAGAAGAGAAATATAATATGAAACAAAATGTTGTGATACAATATTATATTACTGATTATATTATGTATGTTGAATGAAAGTAGATGTGTATAAATCAACATATAAAATTTTAAACTTGCTAGTGTAGGGAAAAGGGAAATCTTTATAAGTATTTTTATCCTTGTATTTGCACAAAGTAGATGTGTATGATTAAAATAAAATGTCTCATATTTTCCTTATCATTTATGGGTTTTATAATTCTTCAGCAATTGGAGAACAGAAAAGCTTCCCGCTGACTCTTCGAAAGCCGTGTCAAACCCTTTGTTTTTTTGGTTTTGTTTTGTAAGTGGGGCCCGCTAGAATTTTCTCTTAGCAACCAGAGAGTTCTCTTTAGCTGTTGAATGAGAAGATGATATCCCATCATTTATATGCCTTTACTTAACTATAGGTAGCACAAAATAAACGTATTGTATGTTACTAATGGTAATATTAAAAGGTCTTACAACTATAGTTTAATTAGTTTTATCTTAAGAAACCACATTTTAGAACTCTTTAAAATTTCAACTAAATAGTGGTTGGATTTCTCTTTAGAGAAATGAAACTCCTTATTTATTACGCAGAAGTTGATGTCGTTATTACGCTTACAAAACATGGTTTCTGCTTATGATGTTGTATACATAGCACTTCTGGATACAAACCAATTGTCCACATGCTTTCACGTGAATGTTGTTGCTAATTTGCTTTTTAAGGCTTCTAATCTTCTTTCTTTGTCCAACCAAGATAGCGCGCATTATTGAAATATACTGGAATTAAAAATAGGTGATGGGTTTCCTCTTGTTAATATAAACTTCTGTTCGGGATTGCTTGAAAGCTCAATAAATCAAATATTGACAACGCAGATTTTAAAGATGTCATATGCAATACATAGAGGTCATAGATGGTTACAAAAAATAGTAACTGGACTTTTTTGCAGGCTTTTTACAAAATGTAGAAAATGTCAGCCAAAAGATAAGCCACCTGCCCCTGTTCAGCAATTACATCCATATATGAAGATAAGACGTCTTGGCCACATTGTGCACACAGATGTAATGCAGCAATTCTTTCAGCTGAGAAGGAAAGAGAATAAAGAACCACCACCAATAGAAGCCAAGCCCCTCTCCAGTAACTACACACCACCCTTCCAAATTTTTTAACAAAATGCGAGACATCAACCAAGATGTTCTGTTTGTAATAGCAAACAAGTATATGCCTTCGTCTTTTAAATGAGGATCTATAGATAATAAAATTGTTAAACATGATGACTATATTAGTCATAAGTACGTATTCAATTTTCTGATGTCGACAAATCACAGAGTTGCTAATTTTTATTCTCAATTTAAGATCTAAAGTCTGGGCCTTTTTGCGGAGGTGTTGCCAAGAATGTAATGATATAATACAGTATAGTTTATTTTGCTTCTTTTCATTTCCTTGAAGGGGCAAAGTTGAGGGGTATTATTGAGTTCACCATCAGAGAAGAGAGAACATCTCAATCACATTGGTATCTCGGATCATCAGATATTAACAGAACATAATGACTTCGCACTTACATATAGGTCAAATGTAAATATAATAGGTAAAATTGTGTTCTCACTAACATGCAACCATGGGCGTAAGTAAAGTCCAAAAAGAAAGAGCTCTGATTTCAGAGGTCACTTGATGTTAGGGAAGCTATGTTTTTTCCGTTGTTAACATTTTGTTGGATCATAAGTGGTGATGTAGAAATCACACGAAGGCTACATCTCCCCTTGCAATCATATCATGTACATCTTAGCACTACGTCTCAACCTTCTAAGCTTACCATAATCCACAATTCCACATACCATAAGCCCATAAATAAGAAGCTAACTCACTCCACCAATTCAGATCCTACAATGGCTGCAATGTTCTGGGCATTGATTTTAGCGAGCCTCTGCTACCCCCTAGCTTCAATCAATGCCAAAGAACCAGCAGGTGCACCATCAAAATTGCCAACTTCAACCCCAGCTGCTCCCTCTAAATTGCCAACTGTAACTTCCCCCTCTTCTAGCACACCATCAGCACCGAAACGATCTCCCGTGGTGGCTGCAACTCCCGGTACCTCAAGAAAACCACCAGCAGCAACTTCTCCCACTTCTAGCAAATTACCGACTGCAGCTTCCCCCACTTCTGGCACACCATCAGCTGCCACAAAACCACCCATTGTAGCAGCAACCCCTATTAGCTCAAGGAAACCACCAGTAGCAACCTCTCCAACTCTTAGCAAACTACCACCAACCACCACTCAGCCGCCTGCAACTGCGGCAGCAACTCCAACATCTGCTCCTGTGAAATCACCAGTTCCCAAGGTTACAACTCCAACATCTGCTCCTGTGAAATTACCAGCTCCCAAGATTTTACCACCAACATCTGCTCCAGTGAAACCACCAGTTCCCAAGGTTACAACTCCAACATCTGCTCCTGTGGAATTACCAGCTCCCAAGGTTTTACCACCAACATCTGCTCCTGTGAAACCACCAGTTCCCAAGGTTACAACTCCAAGATCTGCTCCTGTGAAGTCACCAGTCCCCAAAGTTACACCTCCAAAACTTGCTCCTGTGAAACTACCAGTTCCCAAGGTTACACCAGCGATAAGCCCAAAAGCCCCATCCCCTAAAATTCCACCACCACAGCCACCCAAAAAGGCACCTGTTTCCCTTCCACCATTACCAGTACCACCATCCGTTTCTCCGCCAACATTACCACCACCATTGCCACATCCAAAGGTATCCCCAACACCAGCCAAAGCACCATCACCTGCACACAAAAAGAAAGCACCAATATCATCACCTGTTCCTTCGCCATTAAGTAACCCACCAACGCCTGCACCAACGCCTGCAATAGACACACCATCACCAGCACCTGAAGATGACACGCCAGAGCCGCCTCCCCACAAGCACAAGAGAAGAAGACACAAGCACAAGCACAAGAGACATCACGCACTATCTCTAGCTCCAGCACCAACCATTATTCGGAAGAGTCCCCCAGCACCACTAACTGACGACACTACTACTACTACAGCAGATTCAGAAGAGGCACCAGCACCAAGTCCCAATGCGGTAATGTCTTTAACCTGTTAAATTTCAAATCACAATAATATCCATAAACGTCATACAAAACTCTACTTATAGAAGATGATATTTATAATCCTTGATACGTTATATCAAAGCCTTTTAAATCAGGTGGTCATAAATTTGATTCCTCGCCCTCCTCTGCCTCGAATCATCTAACCAAAGCTAAATTTTCAACACAAGTCACAATGAGTCTGTATATTATCGACGCTTTGAATCTAAACAATTTTTGCAAGAGGGAGCTTCTTAATATAAATCCATTCATAACCCAACCTAACAGGAGCTTGAATTTTAGGGGAATCAATCCTTAACAGCTTTTACCAAATCTTTTTTTTTTTTTTTCCTCAGAATGGTGCACCATCATACCAAAGGCAAGGGAGAAAATTTTGGGCAACTATCGGACTTGCTATAGCCATTTTGTTATCAGTCACTTGACACTTGCAACAGCTGCTATAGCTGTGACCATGGATTCACTCTAAGCACTGAGCGGTTATTTGGTTTGCAAAAATATAAAATCATTTCATATGTATGAAACTGAATAATGAAAAATTATACCAGTTAATTATTTTATTTTATTTTATTTTTTTCGTTCTTTCTTTGTATTGTGTTCTTCGCTCAGAAATATTAATGGATATGAGTTTTTGAATTATTGAAATAATCATGAAATACTAAGCAGAATGCAAAAGAATCTTCAGGTATAGCATTAACCCTGATCAATATCTGACTCTATGTTTTATTATCTCCTGGTTGTTATACTTCGTGACAAGTCCGAGATTGTCAACTAATTTGTGAAGCCCAAGCTTAAGATACCCTTCACACTAATGAGATCATGAATACCCAATTTCTTGAAATAGAATAAGTACGTACGTACGTACTAGTACTTTCATAATAATTGGGTTACAAATATGACCATCAAGAGTACCTAACTTACAATGCGTTTGTTCATGGTGACCTTTATGAAAAGGTCTATATGCGCTGGCCTCCCAGCTTTCAGGCATCTGCTGGCAAATTATGTTGATGGAGCGAATTTAGTAACTATCCAAGGAGACAATCTGAACACCTTTGAGGATCTCTCACTCCATGCACAGCTCACCTATTGTACATGATAGTGGAACAATTCCTCACTAAAAGTAGTGAGGAGTGGGTAAAAACGGTTATGCTCCCCTATCTCTGTAGGGATAAGATTCCCCACCTACATAAAACCATCTTCTTTCATTGAGAAGTGTTGAGATATATAGTCCCACATTGGTTGTATGTGCAACTAATGTGGAGTTTATAAGGCCTTGGGCACTCCCACCCTTTGAGCTAGCTTTTGGAGTGGTGACCTCAAGGTTCTTAACATGGTATCAGAGCCGTCTTGACAGCCTGTTATCTCATTAATCGAATGCCTTCTCAGGTACTAAATTTTCATTCTCCTTTATCCTGTCTTATTAAATCTTTTCCCTCTTTCAGTGTTCTTTCTTCTCTTCCTCCCAAAATATTTGGCTGTGTAGTTTTTGGGCATATTCCTTCACATCAAAGGTCCAAACTTGAGCCTAAATCTATCAGATGTGTCTTCATAGGATATTCCCCTAATCAAAAAGGTTATAAGTGTTACTCACCTTCTCTCCGTAAGGTTTTTGTTTCCATGGATGTTACCTTTTATGAGACACAATCCTTTTTTTCCCCGACTTCTCTTTAGGGGGAGTCTATTGGTATTGGTATGGATGAAGATAAGCCTGGGAAAGCAAATGATGTTGTTGTCTTACCTTGGCCTTTGGAAACAGGTGGAGTTATTGGGATGGAAACAGGAGGAGCAACTATACCTGAATCTAATGATCCTCCTTGTGATCCTCCTGGTAAATGGGGAAAATTTTACAGTAGGCGCAAAACATATGAAGATACTCTAGACTGCAGGACCCTGACTCGAGTCCTAGTTCCAGCAACCCACTTGAATGTACTAGTACAGCCAACGTTGATATGCCTATTGCTCTTCGGAAAGGTACTAGATCTTGCACTGCTCATCCTATTTCCCATTATATCTCATATAAAAAGTTGTCTCCAGGTTTTCGTGCTTTCAACACTATGTTAGATAGTACCAGGATACCCAAAAATATCCAAGAAGCACTTGATGACCCAAAATGGAGGAATGCAGTATTAGAAGAAATGGATGCACTTACAAAAAATGGAACATGGGAGTTTGTGACATTACCTAAAGGAAAGAAAATTGTTGGTTGCAAGTGGGTGTTCACAATAAAATTCAATGCAGACAATAGCATCAATAGGTATAAGGCCAGATTAGTTGCTAAGGGATTTACTCAGACTCATGGGATAGATTATCAGGAGACATTTGCTCCTGTTGCCAAACTTAACACTATCCGCGTTCTGCTATCTCTTGCCGCCAACCTTGATTGGCCATTGCAATAGTTAGATGTTAAGAATGCCTTCTTGAATGGTGATCTCCATGAGGAAGTTTACATGGATCCACCTCCTGGTTTTGAAAAAGGGGATGGTTATGTGTGCAAGTTGCAGAAGTCTCTCTATGGACTTAAACAATCTCCCAGAGAATGGTTTGGGAAATTTACTCAAGCTGTTAAGGGAAGAGGGTTCACCCAAGCTCAGACTGATCACACTTTATTTTTTAAACACTCCGACAAAGGAAGAATTGCTATTCTGATCGTTTATGTTGATGACATAATTGTCACTGGTAATGATAGCGAGGAGATAACCTATTTAAAAAAATGTTTAGCTGACCAGTTTGAACTAAAAGATCTTGGATCTCTCAAATATTTCCTTGGCATGGAAATTGCTCGGAGTAAGGAAAGAATTTCTTTAACTCAAAAAATATATATTCTAGACCTGTTGCAAGAAACAGGTATGCTTGGGTGCAAGCCGGCAGAGACTCCAATTGAAGCTAATATCAAGATGGGAGTTGAGGACAGGGAAGATGTTGATAGGGAGCAATACCAGAGACTAGTGGGGAAATTAATCTATTTGTCTCACACTCGTCCTGATATTGCTTTTGCTGTGAGCATGGTTAGCCAATTCATGCATTCTCCTAAGGAAAAACACCTTAGTGCTGTTTATAGAATTCTCAAATACCTCCAAAATACCCCTGGTCGAGGAATGTTCTTTAAAAAAGGGCACAAAAGGATGATTGAAATCTATACAGATGCAGACTGGGCTGGCTCTGCAATGGACCCAAGATCTACTTCAGGATATTGTACTTATGTCTGGGGAAACCTTGTGACCTGGAGAAGTAAGAAACAAACTGTTGTTGCAAGAAGCAGAATTTCGGGCTCTAGCCCATGGTATTTGTGAAGGAATTTGGTTACGAAGGCTTCTGGAGGAGTTGAAGATCTCTTACTCCCTACCTAGTAGATTATATTGTGATAATAAGGCTGCTGTCAGCATTGCTCAAAATCCTGTTCATCATGACAGAATAAAACATGTGGAAGTTGATCGTCACTTTATCAAAGAGAAATTAGAAGACGGTAGTGTATGCTTGACATATATACCTACCAAGGAATAGACGGCGGATATCCTCACCAAAGGATTACTTAAGCCGACCTTTGAGAATTTGATCAGCAAGTTGGGAATGATCAATATATATCTCCCAACTTGAGGGGGAGTGTAGAATATGTAGAATATTCTAGATAGTATTTATTGATGTAGTTGGTAGTTGTATATTTATTGATGTAGTTGGTGGTTGTATATTTATTAAAGTAGTTGAGGTAGTTGGATGCACTCAAAATAAAAAGGACCCATTGGGTCTCTCAATGAAAAAAGAAAGTGTTATTCAGACAAAACACTTCTACTTTTCTTCAAGGAGGCATCTGAAAATCACCATATTCATGAGTTGCTACTCTACCAAAACTTAGAGTCACCATGTCAATACACATTCTCCCTTTATCAGCCTCACCTGAGATTGCACCTATGGTATCTCTCATGGAGCTTTGGTTCATATCACTATTACTTCGAGCACCCACACAAAGATATACATTGCCCATTGCAGGACACAAACCAAGCTCCAAATCCACAACAATTCATTGACTCTATTTGTCGGAAAGGTGAATTTCTATTCACATCCAAGTGTGGAGAAAGTTAGGAAAGAGCTTCTCAAGCAGTCTTTTCATGCCCACACGATCAGAGAAGAAAAACAATATATCAACGACAATCCATATATCTCACTAAATTTCCAAAAGCCGAAACAAAGACCTAACTTTGCTTAGTTTTAGTGTCAAATTAGAAAAAACTTCAAAGGGTACAACAAAAGCCATCCTTAGCAGAAATTGATGGACAATCTTTCCAACAAAAGATCTTTGAAATCAGATCTAGCGCTACCTAGGACAATGCTAAAAGCCACGAATTCTTGCAACCTGTGTAGTTATCTGATAACTTTATGCCACAAATCTACAGTTTCTTTGTTTTCTCCAAAAGTGCCTTAAAATAACTCTTGTAATCAGATTTTGAAGTTATAATATAATAGAGAGATTTCTTCTCTTTGGTTCTTATATAGAACTCTAAACTTATCAAGAAGCTTGTTCTTGTGGCGTTCAAACCAGACTTATCACTCACCTTCTTCTTTCTTGAGTGTGGTGTCTTATGCTTCTTATACCTTTGGTTCTTATCTTTCATATAGATAACGGGTCAAGGTTTTTTTTTTTTTTTTTAATTCCTGATTGTAGAAACGATCCTATTACACAAAAGTGATAGCTTTAGGTCTTGTGATCCTAAATCTCTTTTCTTTTCTACTTGAAGAGCTTTATAATGAGAGAAATCTTCATCCAAAGAGAGTTAGTATTATTCATCTAGAGAGAGATAGTTAGGATTTTGACAAGTGATTTGGTGGAAAAGAAAGCTTAGTTCACAAGGAATCTATTTAGCGTATTATTTCTTTTCTTTTCTCACTACCTGAAACTTATTTTTCACTCTCTTTTTCTCTCAGATTTTCTCTTTCTTTTTTTTGGTCACTCTTTTTTTTCAACCTTACTTGATCTTCATACACTTGCATTGAACTTAAAGGAGCAAGAAATGGTTTTGTTATTCATAACCAATGAGTATCTATTGGTGTACCCATCATGCATTATGCGTCTATTAAACTGCCATGGACACCCTAAGAGAATATGCCCAGCTTGCATTGGCACAACATCACATAACACCTCATTCTTATACCTTCCAATTGAAAAAGGAACTACCACTTGCTTGTTCACCTTGATTTCTCCACAATCATTCAAACATTGTAGTTTATAAGGTCTAGGTTGCTTTAGAGTTGCTAAATTTAACTTCTCCGCCAAACTAGTACTAGCAACATTTGTACAACTTCCTTCATCAATAATCATGGAACACACCTTGTCCTTTACATCGCATTTAGTATGAATAATATTTTCTCATTGCAACTCCTTATCTTCTTTAACTTGCACACTAAGAGCTCTTCTAGCCACTAAAAGCTCTCTTTCAACTGGTAATTCAATATCACTTGCATCTTATAAAGAAGGCATGGATTCATTACCAGATTCACCTTCACTTTCAATATCACCATTATCTTCCAAAATCATGACTTTGTTGTTTGGACATTGAGAAGCAATATGACCACTTCCCAAACACTTAAAACATTTTATGAAACGCCCGACCGCTTCAAGAATCAATGACTATCCCCACAAACTAACACGAGACTTTTCAGTGTGCTTTTTCCTCACTCGCACACTTCCTGGGAAAACTTCCCAGGAGGTCACCTATCCCAGAATTGCTCTAAGTCAAGCATGCTTAACTATGGAGTTTTTCCGTTTCAGGCTACTGAAAAGTAGATGCATCTTGTTAGTATAGGTAGTATCAATTAATTCTTACAAGCATCCCAAACTGTGCAGTCTCTCAAACCTGCACAGTCTTTGGAATCCCTATCTTTCGGGTGTCGATTCGATTCATTCGTTCATGTAACCCCCCACTGGAAGCCTGTCAAAAGCCGCTCCTTGTCCATGCCCTTTTGCACCGGCGATCACTCCCCGCCCTCGTCAGCGCTCGGGATGTTACATGCCCACCAGCTTCCGCTTGGTTCGTCCTCGAACCACACCGTACTGGGAGAGAGGCCCTGCTGTGATACCACTTGTAACGCCCGACCGCTTCAAGAATCAATGACTATCCCCACATACTAACATGAGACTTTTCCGTGTGCTTTTTCCTCACTCGCACACTTCCTGGGAAAACTTCCCCGAAGGTCACCCATCCCATAATTGCTCCAAGTCAAGCATGCTTAACTATGGAGTTTTTCCGTTCCAGGCTACTGAAAAGTAGATGCATCTTGTTAGTATAGGTAGTATCAATTAATTCTTACAAGCATCCCAAACTGTGCAGTCTCTCAAACCTGCACAGTCTTTGGAATCCCTCTCTTTCGGGTTACGATTCGATTCATTCGTTCATGTAACCCCCCACTGGAAGCCTGTCAGGAGCCGCTCCTTGTCCATGCGCAGTTACAATCACAGCAGTTCATTTATAAAAATGCGAATAAACTTTTTCCGATTATTACGCGAGCATTTAAAACAATAAAAAGCGTAATAATTAAAAGCTGTGACCGTAACTGCGCTTAATATCATAAATAAATGTTAACAATACCGGTGTACAACGGGCTGTTACAATGCCCTTTCGCACCGGCGATCACTCCCCGCCCTCGTCAGCGCTCGGGATGTTACATGCCCACCAGCTTCCGCTTGGTTCGTCCTCGAACCACACCATACTGGGAGAGAGGCCCCGCTTTGATACCACTTGTAACGCCCGACCGCTTCAAGAATCAATGACTATCCCCACATATTAAGACGAGACTTTTCAGTGTGCTTTTTCCTCACTCGCACACTTCCTGGGAAAACTTCCCCCGAGGTCACCCATCCCAGAATTGCTCCATGTCAAGCACGTTTAACTATGAAGTTCTTGCGTTCCAGGCTACTGAAAAGTAGATGCATCTTGTTAGTATAGGTAGTACCAATTAATTCTTATAAGCATCCGAAACTGTGCAGTCTTTCATACCTGCACAGTCTTTGGAATCCCTTTATTTCGGGTGTCGATTCGATTCATTCGTTCATGTAACCCCCTGCTGGAAGCCTGGCAGGAGCTGCTCCTTGTCCATGCCCTTTCGCACCGACGATCACTCCCCTCCCTCGTCAGCGCTCGGGATGTTACATGCCCACCAGCTTCCGCCTGGTTCGTCCTCGAACCACACCGTACTGGGAGAGAGGCCCTGCTCTGATACCACTTGTAACGCCCGGCCGCTTCAAGAATCAATGACTATCCCCACATACTAACACGAAACTTTTCAGTGTGCTTTTTTCTCACTCGCACACTTCCTGGGAAAATTTCCCAGAAGGTCACCCATCCCAGAATTGCTCCAAGTCAACCACGCTTAACTATGAAGTTCTTCCGTTCTAGGCTACCAAAAAATAGATGCATCTTGTTAGTATAGTAGTACCAATTAATTCTTATAAGCATCCCAAACTGTGTAGTCTCTCATACCTGCACAGTCTTTGGAATCCCTCTCTTTCGGGTGTCGATTCGATTCATTCGTTCGTGTAACCCCTGGCTGGAAGCCTGTCAGGAGCCACTCCTTGTCCATGCCCTTTTTCACCGGCGATCACTCCTCGCCCTCGTCAGCGCTGCGTATGATCATTGTAAGTTGCCTTCCGCGAATTTGAACACTGAACCGTGAGCTCGGTGGGTTGCCCTTGGTCTCGGACCAAAGAGATTGTGGTAAGTACTCTTGAACCATGCTTGTATGCTTGATAACTTGCATGTGTTGTGTAACACCCTCTCTTGTAGGCCTCCAAGAGAGTTGTTTGCTAAGCGGAATTAGAGTTCTTTAATAGTATTTTAGAGACTGAAAAAAATTTCGCTTTTACATTGCCAATTAAAACTAAAGAGGGGATCTGGTTAATTACAAAAATCAGAGTACACAAAATTTCTTAAACTCGTTAAAAATATAAATTTCCTGATAGACCTTGCTGTCTTTAAAAATTCGTATAAAATCCAGTTCAACGATTCAAAAATATATTCTTTGTAATCTGGAAACTAGACATCTGGGGCTTCACGTTCATATAAAATAATAGTGATTTGGAGTTCGTTTGCCCCTCGAAACATAACTCGCAAAATAAGAGAGAAAATAGGGGAAATATCACAAGTGTCCTGGCTGGTAAAATTCATAATAAATCGATCTTTCAGAATTTCTTTGCAAGGTTTATATAATGAAACTAGACACCTGGGGCTACGCGTGCATATAAATTATAAGAAAATCGGAGGTCCGTAGCCCCAGTACGACAACTTACAAAGTGCTCGCAAAGACTTTTCAAAACTCAGCATTTAGATAACATGTCAAAATCCTTTTCGCAAACGTTTCAACATCTGTTTCCAAAATACTTGCTGGCCATAAAATCGTAAAGCAATAATAAAATCATAGTTCACAGTAATACAAGCTTCTCAATTTCATACAGTCATCCATAAAATATCACATCAATAGCAGCATGCCCAAACAATAGAAGCCAACAACAAATATCCAAGTCCTCAAAAGCTTTTACGTCCTCCTGCCATTTTGTAAAAATAGCAGCCCCAAAGGGGTGAGAGAAAATCCCAGTAGTGTGGCAACAAAACCATAATGCAACAATATTAACTAGGCACAAAATCATAAATAGTCACTTCAAACATTTAATCCTTTTCATTATATATCATAACGCGTATATAACGCCCTTTTTCCTTTACGCTCATAGCACCGTCGTGCGCGTAGCATCACAGTGGGTATTCCTAATGGCTCCCATGAAGGTGAATCCCACTGTGGAACCTATGCGGACTGAAGCCAAGTGTCCCCTCTCCTGGTACCAGGCATGCCTATATGATGCATGCTCAGTCACATGTCCTCAATACAAATATATATATATTCAAGATGTCATGAATCAAGTATAGATGCCATGTTATGCAATCGCACCCAACAGAAAAATGTATTATGATGTAAAATGCATGCATATATCATATCATCCTTTCATATTCTTACCATTGGCTCATCATCATCATAACATACATAGAACAAATGTGAGCAACACATCACAATTCCATACACTAGCCAATAGTCACATTAGGTAATACCGCCTACACATACCTCGTACGTCGAAATTTAAGTTACCAACAAACAGTGATATAGTCCAACTTCTCAAGGATTTTTCGTACCTAATTTACAGTATAATCAATCAGTGTACATTCAATTTATTCATCAAATTCCCAAGCTTAAAAATTCCTATAGCATTCGGCCCTAAGGTTCTTTTTCTAAAAATTATTTTTTAACTCTCAATTAACCTTTGTTCATTTTAAACAGTAGGGAATTCTTTTAATAATTCCTCTAAGGCAGAACCAGTTTTCATGTTTCTCTTACAGAAGATTTCTAACTTGAATTGCATAAAATACAGTAGCGTGTTTCAGTAAAAACAGTGAACGTTTTTTTTTATGTAAAACAGTGAGCAAATAGTAACCATTTTTCCAATAAAACAGTGAACATTTTCTAATAAAACAGTGGACCTCTTTCTAACAAAACAGTGGACATTTTTCTAATAAAGCAGTGAGTGTTTTTCACACACCTATACTCCATACAGTGCGCTGAAAACAGTGAGCTGTGCTACCAAATTTTCCAGCAAACAGTGAGCATAAAAACCATTCTTCAGCAACGTTTTCAAGAAAAATAAAAGAAACATGCTGTCCATAATTTTTACAGCGAAATAGTGAGGGATTTTAAGCAAAACAGTGTGTATTTCTTCAGCAAAACAGTGACAACTTTATAATAAAACAGTGAGCAAAAGATCCTCGTACGGCAACATCTTCTCACAAAATAAATATATTTGTGGTCTAATTCATTTCATCGCAAAACAGTGAGCAAAACAAAAGTATACAGCAACCTTTTCTCAAGAATATAAATTATTTTAAGACTTACTAACCCTACTTGATGCGATGTAAGAGGGGATAAGGTGTTGTCCACATACTTAGCTTCATAAAAAGTCTAGGTATATATATATATATATAACATGTAAACAGTACCACTTATTAATTTGTATGATCATTCTTAGGTTTATATCTAGAGCTTTTTGAGTTAAGTTCAAGGTACAACAAGGTGAACTAAACATAAAAATAACCAGCCCTCCATTGATGCTCTAAAACCGAAGACAAAGCTACCCAAAAGAATAGAAGATCACTTACGGTTTCTTGTTCACCACCTAGGGTTCGACTTGTAAAAGAAAATAGAAGGAGCTTCCACTTCCTACTGCTCCAGCGTCCACCTAGCAACGCTCAAAGGAAGGATAGGCTTCACCAAAATAAGGTCCACGCATGCAACAAAGAATAGTCTCATGAGAGTCTTGTGTGAGACGAAGGAAATGAGAGGAAAAGTTAACCCCTTACTTAGGAGCTTTAAACCAGAAGATGAAAGGAATAGGATGAGTTCTATCATTGCTCCTCCTTCAAGGGCTTACGGTTTCAAGAAGAAAAGGAAAGGAGAACTAGATGATAGCTACACTTCTTCTCTTGAAGGCATAAGGTCACAGTTTTGGTAGGTTGAGGGATTGGGACACTTTGTTCTTTGTTTAGCGTTTTGGAGGATGAGGGAATGGGGTTTAAGTGTTGTTTTAAATGGTGCTAAGCCATCAGAAAATTTACTGAAGACTCTCCTCACATGGGGCGTACAAATGAGACAAGGTGAGATGTTTTTGGTCCAATAACATTACATGCAAGGCTGACCTTCCTTCAGCCATTGGTTGCATAAGATAAAGTGAGGTTTCAAAGTTAGTCTAACAAGCAACATGGTTGCTTTTGCAAAGGCTATGCGTAAGGGAGAGGATGTAAGAGAGTGTGCAGCCTTGTGTCATAACAATGACACTTTGATTAGAATTTTCTGATCAAAACCGATCTTCAAGGCGCACAAATCAGAGGATAAAGCTTTGTTGCCATTTGTAGATACTACCCAATAGAAAGTGACCTTGTGGAATTACTAAGATAAGATAAAAGTTTGGGACAGCTTGTAGGGGCTTTGGGCTGATCAAATTGTGCCTCCTAAGGCCTCCTAGCTTCGGCCAAAACAAGGGAAAAGAGCTAACATGTGCAGCCCAAAATCCCTTTTAACTTAGACACTAACCCATGAGATTTTCAATCCAACATAGCCCTAGTAACACCATATTTTCTTTTCTTTCCTATGTTACAATTTATATACACATCCTTATACTTAAAATTAAAGTTTCATACGTCTAAAATAAATCTTCATTTAATACTATACTTCAATAATTTCCTAACTTAGTTTTAATCCTATGCTAGTTCTCAATAAATTCGAAAGCCAACAAACAATACATATATATATATATCAAGTTTAATTTTTCACACGTGCATTCTTATTCTTAAGGTATTTTGTGTATTCTCCTAATTACGTGTGATGTTACATGTTGGGTAAATGGAAATTTAATTGGAAATGTCCTGTGTGCAGGCATTTCTGTTTGTACCTAGCTTGGGAAGTATTGCATTGGAGCTGTGGGAGAGGAGATTATTCAGGTAATCCCTTGGTACTGGGGTTTGATCCCTGTGTGTGCTCCACCATGCCCGTTGAGGGTAATGGTAGGAAATGTATGTGAATAATATAGGATAACATGTTCATGGATAATGTATGTGTTGTGGTACATAGAATGTACAGTGTCTCTGGCCAGTAGACTGTTTGCCTTCAGGCGTTACGGACTTCCACTGGATAGGTCTCCGTGAAGGAGTTCCAGTTGACCTGGGGTCGTGGTGTGTGATCCGTAGAGGAGCACACTAGGAAGTCTCGGGTGGTTATGGATGGAGGGTGCCTTGGTTGATGTTCTGGGAACACTCCTTGGTTTGAAACCCGTAGGCTATTTGCCGAGGCCAATAGGCTAGACGCTGCGTGGCTTTGACATTGACCATTCTAGCTTCGTCGTATTTTGATTTCCTATGCTTCCCTACTTCACTAAATCCCTTGCTCTATCCTGTTTTAAATGTTATGTAATATTGTTTATATGCATCGAAGTGAGCCATGGGGTGAAGTATTCTCCAAAACATCTGAATTACTGAGATATATCCGTATGTCTCACCCCGCTTTGGGAACTTTGTTTCAGGTAGTGCCAGTGGAGCTGGAGCGGCGGGCAAGAGGCCCGTAGATTGAGCAAGAGGACTTATACTTATTTTGCATTTTGGGGCCATTGGGCCTAGGTTAGACTTATCATGAACATCGCCTTGAGTTAGAATTTATGCATTGTATCATTGATGTTCATGCCATGTTTTTTCTAAGTTTAGCTTATGATTACCGCGTTTATTTTGGAGGATTTATGTTGTAATATTTGTAATTAAATGTAATTTGTAATATGTTCATTGGAGATGATGTAAAGTGTATTATGGAGACTTGATGTAACATAGAAGTATATGTATGATGGAAGGGCAATAGGCCTATTCTAGGATTGATTTATGTTTTATGTTCATGATGCATGCAAAGGAAAATGGTGATTGAAATTAGTTTAACTTGGAGAAAGTAAGCATAGATTATGATTATGGATCAAATATGATATAAATTAGGAAGGGTTGTAAGAGTACCAAGGCATTGCTGGTCCTTGTGTGCCACCCATGATTATTAGGTACAAAATTGAGGTTAGATAACACATTTTCAAATATGGGAATTATTGGAAAAACAAAGGAAACTCTGGCGAAAGTTCTAGAAATTGGCAGAATTTAGGTGAACTTTGGGAGGGCATATCTCCCTCATCATAGGTTCGATAGGGACGTTCGATACTCCATTTTAAAGCTTGGGATGTCCTCTATCTGGTGTTAAAATTTGGGAATTTTCTGGGTTGCACGCAGCCCTGTAGAAGCCATTGAAGATGGACTGTCCATAACGCACCTGTGCAGGGGCTGTTTCTGGCAGTTTTTGGGAATTTTATTCCCGCTTCGTTTATTGGTCAATTTAAGTGTATGATATGTCAAATTGAAGCTTGAGGTGTATAGTTTACTGTATAAAAATGTGAGAGCAATTAGTTGAGTGAATTTTCCAGAATCAGTGATAGAGTGAAGGTTGTTTGGAGCCGGTTTGAGGTTGGCTAGCAGATTTGCTTGTCCGACTTCAAACGGCGATATCCGGAGAAAACTAGAACTTTATGACTCGTGTGATAGCTTCCTAGAAAGGTAATTAAGTCTAGAATAACATACTAAAAGATGAGAGGTTCGCGACATGCGTTTTTGTTGCAGAAATTAAAAGACCGAACCATGTTCGGATAGGTAGAAAACGTAAAAGAGAGATTTTAACTAAGTGGATTTATGGGAACCCCTTAGTGACTTGAGAGAGGTATTTTATGATATATAGATGGTTTAAATAATTATTCCGCAAAGAGTTTACAATTACAGTGACAGCTTTTATTTATTACGCTTTATTATTGACTTATTGTGTTAAATGCTCGCGTAATAAAACGAAAAAAGTTTACTCGCATTTTTTATAAATGAATTGCTGTGATTGTAACTGCGCTTAATATCATAATTAATGTTAACAATACAGATATATAACAGGCTGTTACATAAATGGGTTAAGCCAACTTACAGGGGCCTATGGTCCAGTTTATATTTGGCCAGACTTGGCCTATTAGAAATAGTAAAATAGAACAGGCCTAAGCTTTAAAAAAAATCTATTTAGAAAATAGGCTATAGAATTTTTTTATACATGTCGGGCCTATAAGCCAGCCTATATCATATTATTTATTTAAAAAAATAAAAATTATTATTTTAATAATTTTGAATAATAAAGTAATATTATTTTAGTTATTTTTTAATAGTTAAATATTTAGTAAGCTTAAACAGACCTAGGTTAAGATTTTTATTTTTTACATATAGGTCAAACTTGTAATTTGGAACCTATACAGACTAACAAGTCATACAAGATCTAATATTTATTTAAACAAATCTGACTTATTTAAGAAAAAATATAATTTGTCTTTTCGACAAATTTACTTAAACCATGTGTTCAAACAGCAAAAACTGAGATTAAATGCAACTGACCTATTTAAGACAAAATATAATTTAGCCTACTATTTACATCTGTCTTTTCGACAAATTTACTTAAACCATGTGTTCAAACAGCAAAGACTGAAATTAAATGCAAGAATCAATTATAAAAATATTAAATAAATAAATATACTGACACACGAAAGCAATGATGATGATAAGAGCAAGAAAGCAAATGACCAGTTCTAACCTTGGGATCCATGGACAGCTCTGAGGCAAAACTTAACTGTACTTATCCGTTACCCATACAGCATTTGTCAAACTCAAAACCCAACTGGCCCCACATTCAACCAATCAAAGCCAATCTCTCTCTTGATTTTATTTTTGAACCCAATTTGGCACATTTTCCCCTCTTACTCTCTCTCTCTTTCATGCGCTGTTCAGCTATCTTCCACGCTTGTATACGCCTCAACAAACCCCTCCTCAAAAAAAAAAAAAAAAAAAAAAAACCCACAAAGCTTGAGACCAAATCCGCATCAAGATCAGATTTCCTGTCAGAGTGCCAATTGTCCCACCCTTTTTGCTTCCTTTACCCAAAAAACAAAAAAATAAAAAAAAATGCCATCTCACATCCTCCACATAGGCAATCGTGCATTGGATGCATCCCTTTCTGGTGGTATTCCCAGTCCTCCTCCTTCTGCTTCTGGTGATGCCACAATGTTGCTCAAAGTGAAGGATGATGACGACCCATCAAAAAGCCTCCTTGTCTCTTCCTCTTTCGAAGACAACAAGATCATGCCCATCAAGCCCCTCCTCTCAAGGGCCTCTAGCTTCACTACAACCAACAACAACAGCTCGATGTGTGCTCCTTATTTCTACCAGAAGAGGCGCAGGCGTGCTGCCAGTGAAGATTCCTTGCCCTCCATCTCCAATGGCACTGATCGCAGGTCTTCCTTTGGCCATGATGTTAGGCATGTTGCTTCTGAGACCTTTCTCTTGACTCGCCTCGGCTTGAAGATGTTAACATACCTTGGGTATTATTCTGTCATCTTTTTGTTATATCTAATATTTGCTGTTTCCTTAATGGGTCTGAGATTTTATCACTAAAAATTGATCCTTCTGATTCGAATTGTTAATGCAATTCATCTATACTGGCAATCTTGTTATTTCTCTGGTGTTGTCAGGTATGACATTTATATATTACATGTCCATGATTTCAAACTGGTTCATTTGTATCGGAGTAAAACTTGGACCAGTTGTTTAAGCATTTTGCAATTGTGTGTTTGTCTACTAGGAGATTCTCCTTTGCAATTATGTTGGTGGTCTAAATGGAAAGCTTTGATTTGTTATCAATTTCGTATACGTAGGTGTCATGGGATTTTGGATTGTAAAACTATAGTGAACTTAACATTTGAGACACATTTAATATATGTAGTAGCAAAGCAGAACCGTAGTATCAGTTAGCCTCTTTACATTTTTAGCATTTACATGCTATGTTATTGTCTCGTCCCCTTCTTAATTAATTGTTTGGAAAAGTAAATGTGATACAGGAGCAACTAGGACATTGAGGCATCATACGGGGAATAAATAGTCATAAATGCTTTTTGTGAGAGGAGATTCAAAGAGAGTGAGGGGTTGTTCCACCAAACACGTGGATCAACTGGTAAGGTATTGTTCCAGCTTAACCAGTGGTCTCGAGTTCAAGTCCCAGGAAACGCAGCTGTGTTAAAACTTGGTAGGGAGAGCTTTGCTGTCTATGTGATCCTACCTGGCTCGAATTTTGACTAATCGAGTAATTGATGAACTGATGAATTATATCCAAAAAATGATATAGAGTGAAGGGAATAGAGGAAATGTAGAAACATTGAGAAAGCCTGAGGTATTCTAGAGATAGCTTAAGAACTCACGGTTTTAGATTTTGCATACAAGACATCGTCTTCAAATGTGCAAATTAACCTGTTAACAACTGATGGCTTCACTTTGTCTTTCTATGCCAATCTAATGTAAAAGCTCAATGATACAATATTATGGTTTAAAGATACCAGAAAGTTTAATTAACTAACAGTTTTGTAATGTTTGTTTGTTTTAATGAATATCTTCACATATCCCAGTTTTGTATGCTTTCTGATCATTTATCTCTCTTCAGGGTAGGCTATAAATGGATTACAAGATTTCTTGCCCTTGGTTGTTATGCAGTACTGCTTTTACCAGGCTTTCTTCAAGGTCTGAATTCAGGGATCTATGGCATAATTCTCATGCATATAATCATATTTGTCCAGATTCTGATTTGAATGTGTTAGTAACACACATCAATGGTCATCATCAGAGCATAAGTATTTTCCTTCTGTTTTCTAGTTGGATATTACTATTTCTTCTCCAGTCAGATACGAAGAAGCATAGTTTATGGAGATAAACCACGAAATAGGTATGCTTTAATTATATTGTTTCTCTGCATTTATAAGTTCCTCCAGCTGCTTTAATTTTGATTAATTGCTTATTTTACTTGCAGGCTTGACTTGTATTTACCTAAAAGTAACAATGGCCTGAAACCAGTCGTTGGTTTTGTCACTGGTGGAGCCTGGATTATCGGGTATGTGATGTCCATGCTTCATTTCAAATTTGTGATTTGATGGAAATACGTGTTAGGAGGCACTGATTTTGTTTTTCGATTGAGAGGATATTCCTTATTCATGGAGTTATCTCTTGATATATGAGCTTCATTTCTTATTTTAGTCTCATTTCAAAAAGAGAAGTTCATTTCGATTGATGCTAAGTTGCTAACCATTAACCTTTGTTAAAGATGACACGTTGTTGATGTTCCACCTCATCATGATGGTGGTAAGAAGTTTTCAATTCATTGAGGAGCTTCAGGAAATTGGCTGAACTGTATAGTGTTTGATTAAGTTGATAGTATTAAACCTGAGTAGGAGTTTATAATTATATACCATGTTTTTCTTTTTTGATATTTATCATACTTTGTGCAATCAGATGCTCTATAATTTCATTTTTGAAGGGATTCACGTGTTTGTGTGTGCATGTTGAAACACACGCACATGCACACATACACATTCACCATCACCATATGTCAATTCAGTTTTTACAAGTTTTGAAGTATTTGTATTTGTGCAGTTACAAAGCGTGGGGTTCTCTTTTAGGTCAACAGTTATCAGAGAGAGATATCATTGTGGCATGCATAGATTACAGGTGATCTTTTTCTTCTCCCATTCTTGCAACTGTATTTTGCTCTAGCCAATAAATGCAATCTGGTAGTATTTAAAGTTGTTGTGGAGACAAATCCTTTTCTTTACTACTAATAAAGAAAACTCTTCGATCCTACTGCTCATGGGTTCTATTTTACCTGTATTATCATTTCTCAATCTTTTTCAAAATTTTCATTTGTGCTTTAGTCATATCCACCAAACCCTGTTTTTAGTTGGTAATCTCTCTTATTGGTTTCTTCTTTTTATTAAAAAAATAAATAAAAATGAGGAGAACTCTATGATAGTTTACTACCTTCTCTTTTTTGTTTTAAGAATTCTGTTGAGAAATATAAAGTAGTGTTATATAATTAGGAAAGTCTTATTCGTTAGGCAACCATTGCTTGTAGTATACCTTGTCAATGACAAACTATCTCAAAAGTTTAAGCTGGTGGAGGCTTGTGACATAGCATACTTTTTCTAGGATATCACAATATCATCCTTGGACTGGGCCTCCTCTATCCCTAAGAAATATCGAAATTTACCAAGATCCTTCGTTTGAAAATGATGGCTGAAATGGTGTTTTACGATTAATGCCATGATGATCATTAATTGTAATGAAAATGTTGTCAACATACACAACCAAATAAATGAATCTTGAAACTGAGTGGCGATAAAACACTGAGTGGTTAGCTTCACTTTTGAGTCAAGACAAACTGTTTAATAACAGTGCTAAATCTCCCAAGCCAAGCATGTAAAGATTTGTTGAGACTGTGAGAATACTAAGAAAAAGGTTTCATTAAAATTGTTATTGCAATATGGAGAGGTTATATATATATATACACACACGCACACACACCATGTGTGATTGGAAAAAGAAATAAAATGAAAAAAAGAAACTAATCAATCCTAAATAAAAACGGAAATAAAACTGATCCTAATTGATTGAATCCCATCAATTAGGAATTTGGCAAAATCTCTTAATATTTGTGGAAATAATCTTCAGATTTTCTGTAGAAACTGTAAAGAACCTTGGGATACACCACCCCAAAAGCTAGCTCAAAGGGTGGGAGTGCCCAAGGCCTTATAAACTCCACATTAGTTGCTCATACAACCAATGTGGGATTATATATCTCAACACGCCCCCTCACACGAGAGCCCACTGGGCTTGAAAAGTGGACAATGCAACAGGCCCAGCCTACCTGTGCTAAGAAACGCCACAAGAGAAAGTGGGGGGGGGGGGCGGCGAGGCTCTGATACCATGTTAAGAACCTTGGGATACACCACCCCAAAAGCTAGCTCAAAGGGTGGGAGTGCCCAAGGCCTTATAAACTCCACATTAATTGCTCATACAACCAATGTGGGACTATATATCTCAACAAAAACCATATAGAGACATGCAGAGGCGACAAACTAAGTCAGACTCCCCCTGAGCAACAAACCCATAAGGTTGCTTCATATAGACTTCTTTCGCAAGATTGCCATGAAAGAAATCATTTTTAATATCCAGCTGATAAAGAGGCTAGTGATGGATGACGACCATACTGAGGAAAAGGCAAATGAAGGTGGTTTTTTCCATAAGGGAGAATGTGTTTCCATAATTTATGCCAAACACCTGAGTGTATCCTTTAGTCACTAGTCTAGCCTTGGGATGGTCCACTTGACCTTCAGGACCAATCTTGACAGTATAGATCCACTTGCAATCAATAATAGATTTCCCAAAGGGAGGAAGAACCAAATCCTAAGTATCATTGCTCTGAAGGGCACACATCTCGCCAAGCATAGCCGGTCGCCATCTGGAAAGCGATAAAGCCTCACTTGTAGTCTTAGGAATAAACATAGAAGACAAAGAAGATAGACAAGCAAAATGCAATGGAGATAGGTGACGATAACTCGTAACATAATGAGGTGAGCGATTATGAGAGTCCGTGGGAACAAGAAGTAGAGATGGTGTTGGAAGAATAGACCGTGGGAACCTCATCAACAATTGAATCTCGAGTAGGTGGACGTGGCCGATGGCGAAAACCCGAGGGTTGGTTAGTGGTTGAGACATCTAGAGCAGGAAGGGATAATGGTGGCAGTGGTGGTATATACTCAACTGAGACAGGAGACAAAGGTGATGGAGGGGAGAGAGAGTCATTTAGAAAGGAGACGAAGTCAAAGTATTGAACAAACTTAAAGAAGGTAACATCCGCTGAGACAAAGTAACGACGAAGACTAGGAGAGTAACAATGATAACCCTTTTGTTACTGAGTATAACCAAGGAACACACATTTGTGGGACTTAGCAGATAACTTATCAAAACCATGGTTGAGTTCATGAACAAAACTAGCACTTAAAATGCAAGGGGCCATCAAATGTAACAAATGGTGGGGAAATAAAATCAAGCAGGGTACTTGATTATCAAGAACAAAGGATGGCATGTGTTTAATAAGATAATACCTAGTAAGAGCAACATCACCGCAAAAGTATAAATGGATATGGCCATGGAATAAAATGGCTCGAGTAGTTTCATTGCGGTGGTGATTTTTGCGTTCAGCCACTCCGTTTTGTTGGAGTGTATGGGAACATGATGTTTGGTGGAGAATGCCATAAGAGGCGAAAAATGTATGAAATTTGATGAAATAGTAATTCTGAATATTTTCTCATATATTGATTAAGACCCAAAGGGTTCCTTATATATAGAATACAACAAGTGGTTCAAGGGTTACAGAAATAAAGAGTAATTAAGAGTAATAAAGAGAACACAGTAAACGAAGAGACTTCACATAAATCAAAGAGACTAACAGCTAGTAGCTAACAAAAAAACTAATAATATTCTACACTCCCCCTCAAGTTGGGAGATATATATTGATCATTCCCAACTCGCTGATCAAATCCTCAAAGGTGGGCTTGTGTAATCCTTTGGTGAGAATATCCGTCGTCTGCTCCTTGGTAGGTATATATGACAAACATACACTACCATCATCCAATTTTTCTTTGATAAAGTAACGACCAACCTCCACATGTTTTGTTTTGTCATGATGAACATGATTTTGAGCAATACTGACAGCAACCTTATTATCACAATACATTCTGACAGGTAAGGAATAAGAGATCATCAATTCCTCAAGAAGTCTTCTTAACCAAATTCCTTCACAAATACCATGGGCTAGAGTCCAAAATTCTGCTTCTGCACTGCTTCTGGCAACAATAGTTTGCTTCTTACTTATCCAGGTTACAAGATTTCCATAGACATAAGTACAATATCCTAAAGTGGATCTTCGATCCATTGTAGAGCCAGCCTAATCTGCATCTGTATAGATTTCAATCATCCTCTTGTGTCCCCTTTTAAAGAATATTCCTCGACCAGGGGTGTTTTTGAGGTACTTGAAAATTCTATAAATATCACTCAGGTGTTTTTCCTTAGGAGAATGCATGAATTGGCTAACCATGCTAACACCAAATGCAATATAAGGCCGAGTGTGAGATAAGTAGATTAACTTCCCCACCAGCCTCTGGTACTGCTCCTTGTCAACATCTTCCTCGCCTCCAATTCCCAATTTAATATTGGGTTCAATGGAGTCTCTGCTGGCTTGCACCCAAGCATACCTGTTTCTTGTAACAGGTCTAGAATATATTTTTTTTGAGTCAAAGAAATTTCTTCTTTATTACGAGCAACCTCTATGCCAAGGAAATATTTGAAAGATCCAAGATCCTTCAGTTCGAACTGGTCAACTAAACACTTTTTCAAAGAGCTTATCTCCTCACAATCATTACTTGTGACTATTATGTCATCAACACAAACAATGAGAATAGCAATTTTACCTTGTCAGAGTGTTTAAAAATAAAGTGTGATCAATTTGAGTTTGGGCGAATCCTCTTCCCTTAATAGCTTGAGTAAATTTTTCAAACCACTCTCCAGGAGATTGTTTAAGCCCATATAGAGACTTTTTCAACTTGCATACTGAACCATCTCCTTTTTCAAAACTAGGCGGTGGATCCATGTAAACTTCCTCATGTAAATCACCATTTAAGAAGACATTCTTTACATCTAATTGTTGCAAGGGACAATCAAGGTTGGCAGTAAGAGATAGTAGAACTTGGATAATGTTAAGCTTGGTAACAGGAGCAAACATCTCCTGATAATCTATCCCATGAGTCTGAGTGAATCTTTTAGCAACCAATTTGGCCTTATACTAGTTGATGCTATTATCTGCATTAAATTTTATTGTGAACACCCACTTGCAACCTACAATGTTCTTTCCTTTGGGTAATGCCACGGACTCCCAAGTTCCATTTTTTTTAAGTGCATCCATTTCTTCAAAGACTACATTCCTCCATTTTGTGTCATCAAGGGCTTCTTGGATTTTTTTGGTATCATTGTACTGTCTAACATAGTGTTGAAAGTATGAAAACATGGAGATAACTTTTCATATGAGAGATATAATGAGAAATAGGATGAGCAGTGCAAGATCTAGTACCTTTTCGAAGAGCAATGGGCACCTCAAGGACTCGAGTTAGAATCCTGGCAGTCTAGAGGGTCCCGAGGTGACTTACGTCTGTTGTAAATTTTTTCCCATTTACCGAGAGAATCTCCAGTCGTAGGTACAGTTGCTCCCCCTGTTTCCTGCACAATAACTTCCCTGTCTCCAAAGGCAAAGGTAAGATAGTAGAATCATTTGGTTTCCAAGACTTATCTCCGTCCATACCAATATGCTTCCCCTGAAGAGAAGTCGAGGGAAAAAAGGATTGAGCCTCATAAAAGGTGACATCCATAGAAACAAAAACCTTACAGAGAGAAGGTAAGTAACACTTGTAACCTTCTTGGTTAGGAGGATATCCTATGAAGACACATCTAATAGACTTAGGGTCAAGTTTAAACCTTTGATGGGGAGAAATATGAACAAAAATCACACAGCCAAACAACTTGGGAGGAAGGGAAAAGAGAGCCTGGAAAGAGGGAAAGGAGTGGGTAAGATCAGATAAAGGAGAATGAAAATTCATGACATGAGAAGACATTCGATTAATGAGATAGGAGGCAGTGAAGACAACTTCCCCCCACAAATATTTAGGGACATGCATCGTAAACAAGAGCGATCGAGCAACCTCAATGAGAGGTCTATTTTTCCTTTCAGCCACCCCATTTTGTTGAGGGGTGTTAGGACAAGAGCTTTGATGAATAATATCATTCTGGGTTAGGTAATCTCCAAGAACAAAATTAAAATATTTAGTACCATTGTCAGTTTGCAGAATCTTAATAGAGGTCTGAAATTGGGTTTGAACCATAACATGAAATCTTTTAAAAGTGGATGCTGCGTTAGACTTATCCTTTAAGAGATATACCCAACATACCCAAGAATGAACATCAATAAAAGTAATAAACCAACGAGCACTAAAGATTTTTTTCACGAGCAGGTCCCCATATATCACTATGAATCAAGGTAAATGGAGAAGAATCATGATAACCTCTAGGGGAATAAGAAACACGAGAATGTTTTGCAAACTGGCAAATATCACATAAAAAGGAACTTGTCTTTTTATTGATAAATAAGTTTGGGAACAACTTCTGAAGATAGAAGAAATTCGGGTGTCCCAACCGACGATGCTACAACAAAACATCATTACAATCATCAGACAAACATAAAGAGTGATTTGCAAAATTTTCTCTTCATAATGATCCTCTTCAAAATGTAGAGTCCTTCTTCCTATCTAGTACTGCCAATCATCACTTCCGAGTCCTGTTCGTCAAAAACTCAAGCATTGGCAGAGAACTTAGCAACACAATGTAACTCAGAGGTAAGTTTGCTAATAGAGATGAGGTTACAAGTAAGAGAGGGAACATGAAGGACTGAGTTCAAAGTAATATGTTCAGAAATTTTAACGGATCCCTTTCCCGCAATAGTAGAGAAACTGCCATAAGCTGTTCTTATTCGTGACGGGTGATAATAAGGGGTATAGAACAAAACAAGGTTGCATTACCTGTCATATGATCAGAAGCCTCTGAATCAAGAATCCAATGACTACTACAATCAACATAGAATGCCATACCTTGTTGAGCAACATGACTAGTTGCCTCAGCAGATTGAGACATCACCTTTTGAAATTGCTCGTATTGAGCCTTAGAGATGAAAACACCGTCAGAATTTGGAGAGACACGAGACTCCTCATCCTTATCTTCAGAAGAGACTTGATAAGAACGACTCTTGTTCTGCCCCTTTTGTTTCCTGTTTGGTGGTTTTCCATGAATTTCCCAACATTTTTCACGAGTTTGAACCCTTATTGCAATAAGAGCACCAACGGTCAGTACGTTTTGAATCTCCTGAGGGACGAGCAGTATTTTTTGCTACAATGGCAGATCAGAGGACTTAGAGTCCTTGTCACCCAACATCACCTTTCGACGAAACTCCTCCCGTTGCACCTCAGAAAAGGCAGCAGCAAGGGAAGGTAACGGGTTTTGCCCCAATATTCTTCCACGAACATCATCAAGATCACGATCAAGGCCAGCAAGAAAATCATAGAGACGTCTCTATTCTAAGTATTTTTTAAACCTTGCATCAGCTTCCAAACCTAGAAGGTCTGCTGTATCATAAAGGTCCAACTCCTGCCGCAGAGTTTTTAGAGAAAGGAAGTATTTAGTGACAGTCAGAGTAATATTCTATAACAACATTCCAAATTTCCTTAGCTGTATCAAGAAACATGTATGTTTGACTAATATTGGATTCCATGGAATTAGTTAACCATTGCACATAATTCTTACCGTTTAAACGGTGATTGGTAATTTGCATAGCAGGGTTGTCTCCAGTAGACGAAGAAATTCCTTTGTGTCGGTGTCGGTGCAACATAGGTTCCTGGCATATGAAATTCCTTTGTGTATCGACTTTTTCTACTGTTCATGTTTCTAAGTTAGAGTTGATCATTTAAAGTTTTTTATTTTTCATCATCATTAGAGTTCCTCATCTACATTCTGGTTATTCATCAACTTTTCTGATTTCAAAACCCTTGAGAATTTGAGAATCCAAAATCATAAGTAGGACTAGAATTGTTGAATCTGTAAGTTTATTGGGTCATGTTTGCACAACAATGCCATAATAACATCATTTCATTGCAAGAAAACTTCACCATATTCATTGGAATAGCTAAGTAAATTAATAAGAGATATAAATTATGTTTTAGATAATTGTCCATGTTTTTCACTCTACTTTCTTCACTTCTATCATTTACTTATCTTCTTTCTCTGTTCTAACCCTTCAACTCTTCCACTTTAAAATTGTTTATTTTTTTTGAAAAATTACTTTAATATTTTTTTTTATGCATACACTTTGATTCTCTGCCCTTGTCCCAACTCTAGAAATTCCAAGTGGAAAAGTTGCAATACCTACTTTGTCTAATGTGCATAGTTATCAAATGTGGATTGCAGCATGTCGCGCCCAACCCCGAAAAACGCTATAGCGTTATAGCGGGTTGCGGAAATAGCGAAATAGATATATGACAGAAATAAACATTTTTTAAAGGCAAAGATAGCAGAAGTGATAGAGAGACGCAGATAGACTAAAAAACACTTAAATTTTTTCTGTTACATATTTAAATTTAGGACAAATTTGACATTTTGCCTTATGACAGCAATATGGCCGCAAATGCGATCGCAATGGTCGCTATTGTGTTCCGGTGCGGCGTGGTGCAGTTTCTTGCGGCAAGGCACCGCAACGCCTATACGGCGCGGCTCGCGAGGCTATTGCGGCGCAATTAACTACTATGCTAATGTGGTCATCTTTCCTTCAAAATTATAGGCAAATATAGATTCCAGTTAGCCGACAGGTTAAGAGGTTATTTAAAAACTCAACGATCCATGCAACACATATTTATACTTATATAAAAAAGGAATAGAGTGAGATATCGATTTAGCTGAACTGTAAAATGTTATGCAAGGAGTTTTGTTTATACAATGAGATTATTGGTACAGTGGTACTATCTTGGATAATGAATTCATGACCTTGCTCAGGCATGTGAACACATACGAGACCTAAATGGTCAGAGGAAACTTCGTAAGACCGAGAAAAAAGAAAAGAAAAAGAACCATGCATTTTAACAATGGACTTTGAAGGCTACGCTTCCCTTCTCCAGTTCTCCCTTAGAAAAGATAAAATGATAAATAAAAGTCTTGGGGTACGGATTTATGGTTAATCACTCTTCACTATGAATTGCATGATTTTTCGATAGGCTTTCAATTCAATTATTTATTCCAATTTTAGGGTATGGTTATTCTAAACTACCATTCATGTCCACTCTGATCTGATTATGCTGATGTTTGGATTTCGGAAAAAGTAACTTTGGTTTGGTTGATTAAGAATAAAATTTTCTCTTGGTTTTATATGGGGCATGATTCAGCCAAGAAAGTAGGAAATCTACCTGTAGTTAATTTTGATATTAATTCTCAGTGTTATAATAACCGACCCAACCCGGTTTGTTTGACCGAATGACCAACCAGTCCAGTTTGGGTATTGGACCGGTAATGCATTTGACCTAATGTGAAACCTGAGAACCGATCCTAAACAAGGTTCATCTGGTATTGGTTTTTTAATAAAAAACTAGTTTTGTGAAATTTAGGACAAAATGCTTGAAAAATACTGTTAATAAGATTCAAACATAAGACTATATAGATTAAAACTTACAACGCTTAGCACTAAACTAACTCTAATTATTAGCTAAAATACTTCTATTTTTATATTTATTATATTTTATTTATAAATATTTTATTCATGCGGTTGAACCAATGACCTACTGGTTGAATCGGTGACCCCATTGACCTAATACTTTGACCGAATTGATGACCGGTTCGAGTTTGATAATGTTGTTAATGCTAGTTGCACAATTGTGAACTGATTTGGGAAAGATTCTAGTTTAAAAGATCCAAACATGTTGCATTAAAGTTCCTTGGTCCTTTTTGGCAAGAGGAGAGGTTTTGGGAAATTTGTTTCTATTTTATTTGGTAATTGATGTATCTGCTCAAACCTTGAAGGGTGTTATGGTTATTGAATCGACTTGAAAATTTTTTGGTGATGTTATTTGTATTGTTTAGAATGAACTTGACTAGGTTATGGCTCTGTTTGACTTTGATAGTCTGAAATAGAATGAAATTTTTTTGGACTTCTATTATTTTATTGTTTGAACAAAATTCATTTATATTTGTTTTGCTACTAAATCCATTTTATAAACTAGAGTCATGATTCGAATTGTTTTCTGTTGCTTGACAAGCACCATGGCTTTCTATGTATTTTTTTTAATTGCTTCTTGTCCTATCGAGAATATGAGAATTCTCACCCCTTTGAGTGTGGTGTTTCCAGAGATAGACCGAGTAGCTAGACTGTTGTTGTGATTAATATATGGTCACGTAGGAAAGAGGGAAATTGAAGTAGTCCTTACGTTGTAACTTTGCCTTACTAAATGAACGCGTTTCAGTTTTTATGTGTATTTCGTATATAAGTAAGCATGTAAACAAATGATATTTGATGCAATGTACATCAATGGATAGTGAGCATTTGATTATCACAATGAAATTTCCTAGAAATTGTAAGGGATAAAAAGAAAATATAAATTTTAAAGGACATTTAAGTGAATTACTGCTTGTTGCATATTATTTTAAAAAGAGAGAGTTAGGGTATGACCAATTTGTCCGCAAATTTCTACAATTTCGGCAATCACAATGCAAGGGCAAGGTAATTGCAATCTAAAACCATGATTTATAAACACAAACACTATATCCACAACATCATGACTGCTGTGAGTGTATTCTTCCTGGTGTAGTGTTATTTGACATATCTTTTCTTGCAGGAATTTTCCTCAGGGTACCATCAGTGATATGGTTACTGATGCTTCTCAAGGCATCTCATTTGTATGCAACAATATTCAAGAATATGGAGGTGACCCAAATAGGTAAATAATCGATCTCTCAACGCTTAAGTTTTCTCATTACCGGTCCTTTTTTTTTTGTCCTTTCTCTAAGGGCTAGTCGATTCTCACGATCACTGACTGATGATGCCTTTTTAGGATTTACCTAATGGGGCAGTCGGCTGGGGCACATATTGCTGCTTGCGCAATCGTGGAGCAGGCCATCAAAGAGGCAGGTGAAGGAGAGAGTACTTCTTGGAGTCTCTCCCAAATCAAGGCTTATTTTGGTTTATCTGGAGGGTAAGTACTTGCACATAGTTCCTTCCAACCTTGATATTTCTTGTGTTAAAAAAATACTAGAACTTCTGAAAAATTACAACATCATTGGAAATGCATCCGTCGATGAGACAATAACGTTGGAAATTCAAGTATGAGTAAATGAGTCCAACATTTGAAAAGAATGGGCCAAATAAGGATCATATAAGTAGAAAAGCCCCATAGACCTTATGTCTTCAAGTTTTGGATAAAAATATGATATGAAGTTATTAGTGTACTTCCTTTTTGATTCCATTGTTAAGATGTCCTGCCATTTGGACTCTGCTAATCTAACATACGAGTCACATGGAAGTTTATCAACAATTGATGTTCAAAAGGTCTACCTTGAATGGTCCACCAAACTGTGAATTATCTTGAGTTTTACGTAGAAAGTTGTAAATATGGAAATAATTTGTAATTATTTCTTTTCTTTTCTGTAATTATGTGTTTCCTTATCTTTATGATTTGGGTTGATTCCTTTAGGCCCATTAGTCTATTTATATATATTGTACCCTTCTGTACATGATCACATTAGATTAGCAATAATATTTCTGATTCCTTTTCTAGTTGGACCAAGAAGATCTATTGATCTACAACAATTTCATGACCGGAAGAAGACCCATGCGCCTCCAATCATGTGTACACGTTTTTTATGATTGTTGAGATTACGGCTAATTGCTTTTTTTGACAAATTTTCACCTCCGCCCACCCACAGAAGGGGTCGCACCATCCAAAACCATTGTGCCCCAAAAGCCCACCGCTGCCGGAGCGTCCACGTGCGACCAAGCTTCTTTGCACATGGGACTCACACGTCGCCATCTCACCGGTGTGTGATGTCGCAGTTCAACCTCGAACCACCGTGGTTGTGGTCTCTTCGCCGTCTCGAGTCCAGATCTATCCTCACGTCCTTGATCAAATATTTGGGCCGTGGGTCTTTGATCTAGCCATAAAATTTGGATCTTTTTGGTTCATTCAAGCCTCCTTTGCTCAGATTTGACATTTTTTACCGTTTTTGATATATTTATAGACTTCCGTGTTAATCACCCACCATTTTTTTATGCTGCCCTTTCCTTTTTCATCCATAGGACATTAGTGCACCCACTGTAAGCAGTCTGGACACACAAAAGACGTGCTTTCGCTTTCTTGGGAAGCGACATGTTCTAGAGAAGTTTGATAAAGCATCCTCGTATGTGACTTTTCAACAAGGAGAGTTGGCGCAACTTAAGATCATTGCTAATACTTTTAGTAAGCTTTCTGGTACTTGTTCTTTAGCTATGTCTGGTAAGATCACACACACCCTACATCTCGTTGCTTCTTGCACTGATTTGAAAAATTCATAGATTATCGATTCTGGTGCAATTGATCATATTACTTGTATTGCTGAACTATTTCTTTCATATCACCCTACTAGTGGTATCCATACTATAGTTGTAGTTGATGAATCCCATAAATCAATTGTGGGTTCTAGTAACGTTCAAATTCAACTTTCCTTGTTTCTAAATAATATTCTTGGTGTTCCTTAGATCTCCACCAATCTTATCTCCACTTATAAGGTTATAATTGACTTGAATTTTCTATCACCTTTTTTTCCTACTCATTGTGTTATTTAGGATCTCACCACGGGAAGGACAATTGGAGTTGCTTAGAAACAAGGTGGGTTGTACAATCAATTATTGAATTATTGAATAGTCGTCACCCGTCTACTCCAGTATCTCTGATTTGCCTTTATCACAAGCACCTAGGGCACCCGTAGCCTACCGAAGTCAATTTCTCCTCCTTTGTTTCTGCATCAGTCCATTGACTCATTCCATTGTGATTTTTGTGAGCTCGCAAAACACCACCGTGTGTCGTTTCCTTCAAGTGTAATAAAACATATTGAACCCCTTACCCTTATTTATTATGATGTTTAGGGCTCTTTTATAGTGCATAGTGTTTCTAGTGCTAAGTGTTTTGTTTTCTTATATTCATGATTATATTCAGGCAACATGGATATTCTTGATGAAAGACAAGTTAGAAGTACTATAATTGTTTATTCAATTTTATCACATAATCGGGACACATTTTGGTAAAAGTACTAATCGAGTAAAATTTGATAATGGTATGCAGTACATCAACTAGCGTTTGTCACAATTCTTTTCAGATAAGGGCATGATTGAAGTAACCAAGATATTACTTTTTCAAACATCTGTTCCCAACTCTTATTGGGGAGAAGCCATGTAAGCTGCAGCCTATTTGATCAACTACTTACCTTCGCGGGTGCTTGGTCATGTAAGTCTTGTTCATCCCGTAACATCCTTCTTTCCCTCTATTCTAGTTATACAAAGCCTTGAATATTGGATCTTTGGGTGTTTTACCTATGCCCATATTCATAAACAGCACAGGGGTAAATTGGACCCTCGAGCTCTTAAGCGTGTCTTCCTTAGTTACGCTCCCGAAAAAGGGGTATGCATGTTATCAACACTTATAAAATTAACATACAACTACTTATAACTCATTACTATATAGTCCCCATAAACTAACATGACACAAAACTCACTTTATTCATACTTAACACTGAACAATCAATACAATTCTCAACACTAATATTCTTTGAATCCACTACTAGTCCCAATATTTTAGTATGTCAAACTAGACCTTTTGGGCTATCCGGAAAGGTATAAAATTTACAATTTGGTTAAGTATAACTGCAGGTATGAAACTTGCATGGTAAATGCTTCAAACGAACTTCTGGAAATAAAGCATCAGATTTAAATCTAAACTGGGATTGATCTACTTACCCAATGATTCTAATCTTTTACTATGTTGTAGATCTTTTAAGTTAGCTTCGCGTAGGTCTAAACCGCACTCGATCTGAAGCTCGCTAGCTCAAGTTATGAAATTTCTACGAAAAGTTGCTGAAAACAACCATGGGCTGGCGCTGCTAGCGTCAACCCAGCGCTAGGAGTGCCACGAGATGAATTTGCTAATGTTCGCTAGGAGCGCCACGACGACGCTAGCAGTGCCAAGGTTCATTCTGCCACTGTTTTGTGGCCTTGACATCGCCATTATGGCGCCTAGAGCGCCACGAATAGGGGACATAAATATACTTTGGTGTTTCAGCTATAAATTGAGTTATACTTGTCTTGATACCGTCTTGGTCTCGTTGGAAAGATAAGAAAAAGATCTATAACTTCCATGAAGACCAAGAGATCCAAATCTATCATATAGGATATGAAAAATGGACCATAAGACTAGGGTATTCTTATATTTGGATTGATTCCCAAACCAATTATTTTACTTTCACCTAATTGACATTTAACAATATTATCATACTTGAATCCTAGCCAATTCCAAGGAATAATACAATGATCCATTAGAACTATTTCCAAAGACATAATCATACATATCATATATCAAAATGTAATCTCAACATATGGTCCATTACATGATTTCATTTCCATGTCTAGGCATGAAAGGCCTTTTACTTTACCAATTGTCCATCTTGGAATCAACATCATCATCAAAGCTATAAAATCCGCAAGATGTTCATGTACATGTACATATCCTCAATCTCTCAAAGGATTACAATTTATTACATAACTTGGAACTTAGGCTATACATAATCATGATCTTGATTCTATACATCATCATATCTCATGAATGGTACAAAATAACAAGATCATGACCTAAGTCCCCTATTACTTCATACATGTTCTTATCAAAATAGGATTACAATTACATGTGCACAAAAAGTAGTCCAAATGATATATGCTATATCAAGACATCTAAACTGGTCTCTGGGACGGTCCCTCTCCTGCTGTGAGAGTACTTGAAATGATATTCTCAAAACATTGGGTGAGATAAAAATCTCAGTAAACCAAGGGCCCTTGGAGGATTACTCTACCCTTAGGTTCACTTCCTATGCATACATAATAATAATAGTATAGCATAACATACATTATTTCATACTCTATGGAACTCCCAAGAGAGATCCGCAAGGGTTGTTTCTCTTAGGTTCTTACCACTTGGAGATTCGCAAGGGCTGTTTCCAAGGGAAGTCCATAATACCACACATTCTTTAAAAAATTCCATGGAACTTCCAAGAGAGATCCACACAAGGCTATTTCTCTTAGGTTTTTACCACTAAGAGATCTGAAAGGGCTGTTTCCAAGGGAAGATTTACCACTCTAGGAACTTTCAAAAGAGATCTGTAAAGGATGTTTCACTTATTATTCATCATTTATCAATCAAAACCTCATTCGTCAGTTATAAATCAACACCTCATATTAATGCATGATTATACCATCACTATCATTATCATATTAACTATTCCTCCACAAAGGAGTATGGTGGTATACACAAGGGGACTAACCCCAAGGTCCAGAAGTTTACCTTACTGTAGACCTCCGTTTACTGTTCCTCTTTAGCTCAAATGCAATCGTCACCAATTTCACAAGAAGACAACCTATGGTCAAGGTGAAAAACGGGATCGTCAACTCAATCAACATATAAATGCTAAGTTCCATGGCTAGGCATTATCATATAACTCAACATAACTCACTTACCCTCTTTGAAAATCTCAAGAAAGCTAGGTTTTCAACCTAACAGTGCTTCCAATGAATCAACTACAAACAAAACCTCATTCGGTCCATCTCTACAATATTTACACAAGAAAACAACTCATTAAAACTGTAAAGAACCAGTTCAACCCAAAAGCTTAAGCTGGTGGGTGAAGGCTTTTCAATGGTTTTATATATCTCAACACGCTCCCTCACACGAGAGCTCACTGGGCTTGAAGAGTGGACGACAATGCACAGGCCCATCTACCTGTGCGGAGAAAGAAATTCCACTAGAAAGAAAATGGGGGGCGGTGAGGTTCGAACCCGGTACACCGAGGATTTGATACCATGTAAAGAACTAGTTCAACCCAAAAGCTTAAGCTGGTGGGTGAGGGCTTTTCAATGGTTTTATATATCTCAACAAAACCCACCCCCGTTGCCGTAACCACCGAATTTGGACCTTGGAAGCGGTGCATGGCGATTAAGTGCAAGATCAATAGTGATGGTTGGGGATGAATCTCAAACACATGACCAGAATGCATTAGAGAAGAGAAACACAACTAGGTCAAAGTTGGAATTGGGCCAATTTTTAAACCGGCCCAACTCAATGTTTTTTTTTTATATGTTTCTATTTTGTTGGAAGACTGGGCTTGTGAGCCCATGAATTTGTTTGAGTTAGGTGAGCCCAAAACACATGAGCAACATCTAAACAAGCTGGACTTGGACACCCGGGAACAGGGAATTTCCAACGAGCCTATTGGTTTAGTCATGGTCCATTTTTCTTCCAAATTGCAGACCTTCATCTTCTTGGTTTGCAAAGGGGATGGCTGCAGGGAACGACCTGGGTATGCTTCCGTGGTGGGGGGATTCGTGCCATCTTCATTATAACAACCCATATCAGTGTAATGTTGATAAACAGTAAAACCCGTTGCAACGTAATTATAACTTGCTATAGCGGAAATGGAAAACGTGTACTGACAAGCAAGAGATTGGGATAAATGAAGAGTGAAACCTGTGAATTGTGAGATTTTAAGTTGATTGAGAGTCTAATCATGGCTCAGAGGGTGTATGTGGTGAAAATCCTGAATTTTGGGTTAAAATACCCACAAGGGTAAAATGGTAATTTGGCAAAATTGCCCGGTTTTTAACCCTAACCTGTGAAATGGGAT